TCAAAACAAGTTGGATATATTGAGAGAGATAGAGATACATTTCTTTTGTTAACTGTCTAATTAGCACAATTAGATGAGATCTAAATCTTAAAAGCAAAATACGTAAATATAGAAAATATTATGACTAATTTAAAGAATCTAAAGAAGTTGTGAGGTTTTTTTTGAAACTTTTGTACGCTTATTTTTCCAAAAAAACCCTTCCTTTAAATCAAATTATCTAAAATATAATTAATATTTTAGAGCAAATTACACAGTTGGTCCCTATAGCTAGCTCAAAATCTAGATATAGCCCATATTTTGAAATAAGTATACTAGTCCTAGCGATCTAGGTCCCTTACATTAACACTAATCTGTCAACTCATGGGTATTTTTGTCATTTTAATTTGTTTTTGTTCCTATTCACACACCCGACTATTTCTCCACCCCCAACATCGATGAATACGACCACCGCCTCATCTCCGTCAACCTTCACCTTCATCGTTGCCTCCGGCCAGCTCTAGAGTCCTTTTCCAGCCTCACCCACGCAGGGCCGGTCCTAAGATTGTTGATGCCTTGTATGAAAATAATAAAAAGTGCAATAGGGGGACAAAAAAATCATACTCATGTTGGTTTTATTAATTATAATAAAAAGAATACAATGGGGGGACAAAAAAAATCAAAACCCCAAATACAAAATATGAAATGATAAAAGGATAAATGCCGGATTAAGATCTTGTTTCCTTCTTTTCCAGTTTCTTTTTTCAAAATTGAAATTAGCAAAATAAAAGTTTTATTTCAATATATGAGACTAGGGCTGTAAACGAACCGAACGTTCAGCAAACTGTTCGTGAACCTTCGGCGTGAAGTTCGTTTATGTTCGTTTATTTAATAAATGAACGAATATGAACAATTTTTTTTGTTCGTTTAGTTAAACGAATGAACATGAACAAGAGTCTCGTTCATTCATTTATGTTCGTGAACGTTCGTTCATTTATCGTTCGTTTATGTTCATTTATATTCGTTCAGTTATGTTCGTTTATATATTAAATTTAATATATAATCTTTTGTTTATATACTTTGAATCAAATAATATTTATTTATGTTCGTTTAGCCCGTTCGTTTATGTTCGTTTAGTCCGTTCATTTATGTTCGTTCGTTTAACATGTTAACGAACGAACATAAACGAACACGAACATACCTGATTTCTAAACGAACGAACATGAACACAAAGATTTTCGTTCGTTTATCGTTCGTGTTCGTTCGTTTGTTTGGTTAAGTTAGACGAACGAACATGAATAAGCCTCCGTTCGTGTTCGTTCGGTTCGTTTACAGCCCTATATGAGACTTAAAAGATAAGGAAAACTATAATTAGTTTTTAACTAAAATAATAAATTACATCCAAATTATTGTCATAGTAAACAAAAAAAAACACTCAAAAGTTACAGGTCCAACAACTAAAGGCTAAGGCCTATTTGTTAGCAGTTTTATAAGTTTAATGGAACTAACAGCTTATTCGTTCAACTATGCATGACTGTTTTGTAGTGACTTAATGATATAGAAAGTAACTTATCCAGTAAGCTTCTAGGGGAGCTTTATATAGAAAGCCTAAGTTTCGTTTTTCCAAACATGTCTCTTCCAACTAAAAAAACGTTCTTTAAATATGCGGAAAAACTCTCTCAAACAAAAACTTTTCCAACTTATACAGACAGATTAATTCATACATACAACTTTATTCATACATACAACTTTATACAAACAAAAACTTTTCCAACTTTTTCCAACGATGTGCATTCAATATTCATCACTACTAGGCCTTGGGCCTGTTTTTATAGTTAAAGCTCTGTTATCCAATTCCCAAATTATAAAACCCAAAACTAGTAATAAATGACAACTTGATGCCCTTTAGGCGTTGATGCCCTATGCAGCCGCACGAGCTGCACGTGGCCAAGACCGGCCCTGCACCCACGTAAGACGGACCCAAGAATTTTTGGATACAGTGGCATCATATAAAATGGTTGCACCTTTTAGAATAAAACGGTTGCACCTTTCACGAACCTAATTTTTTTTTTACTTTACCACGGAGGAACAATATGGTGGCACGTGCCACCTAACCACCCACCCCTCTAGGTCCGTCTATGAGTATATCTATATATATGTACATACACACACGAAAACATACACATTAAACTCTTTACCCACAAAAACTCATTCGCCTACCTACGACCTATACCCTTCTTCACCACCCAAATCAGAACCTGCACCTGCAACATTCCCTTATGTTCGATGTTGTGGTACTGGTAGTTGGGAAATTAAGCACACCGGAGTAGAGGAAAAGGTCTGTGATGTGGGCTTTAACTGAGTAAAACAGGATGGATGATGTTCATCTTTGTAAGGATCATCAATGGTGTTAATGGAGTATAGTATTTTCTGTGTATGTGGGTGGGCGTTGTGTGTGTTTTGTGATAAGGACATAAGATGTTGATCAATCTTTCTAATACTTTGATAGAGATTGAAGAACAATTGTAAAAAATCCCTCATAAGAGAGACACACATACATACACACACATATATAGATGTATAGAGATATATATACACACCTGAAGTTTCACAACAAAACACTGTAAATTCACCCTTCACACTGTTTTTCTGTGAAAGTTAAGATTTTTTTTTACCTTCACAGTATTCTACCATGGAATTTCAAGTGTAAAAAAATGATGATAAGTCTTAAGAAAACAGTTTAATCTCATTTGAATCCAACCCTATATATTATTTATAATATTTTACGTTAAAAACATGTTCTTTGGAGTTGGGACCATTTTGTTAAAATAAAATGGAGGGAATTACAAATAGGTCCTTGGAAGAATTGCCGATCTCTAATTTTAGTCCTTAAAGAAATTTATTTACTCATGTTCCATTGTGACTGTCATTTGTCAATCTAGTTTGTGTTTCTAATAGTTGTTTACAGTTCTTTTAATTAAAAACGGTTAAGTTGATTGTCTCATATTACTAAATAAAGGGTATTTTCTCAAAAGTTTAAAAAATTCATATCCTTTGCCTTTTTTCTATTACGTCCATCCACCATTTTCGTTCACCGCAAAGAGATAATTTCAAGTATCTAGAATTCAAGATTTGTAGACGACATTGCACACCACATAAAGGCAGAACGGTTGCTATGGGAGCATTATGTGACAATAAGGTCCCACTAAGATTGAACAAAAGTTGTACGAGGTGACTATCAAACCATCCATGTTCTATAGGTATAGGTGATGGCCAATAAAGAATGCATACAAGAGGAAGTTGAATGTTGTAGAAATGAGCATGTTGAGATAAACATGTGGGAAAACCATGTTGTACATGAAAAAGGATGGACCCCACCCCCCCCCCCCCCCCGGGGGGAGGGGGGAGTTAGGATAGAGTTAGAGGTGTATCTATCACAGATAAAATGATAGAGATAATTACGGTGGTTTGGACACGTAAGGAGGAGACGGTTGATGGATCCAGCAAGGAAGGTAAAGAGCGTAACTGCTGAGAAGGTGAGGAGGAGGGGTAAACGAGGACACATGTGATGATCAACCGATGACGGATATGGCGAAATCAGACTTTTTGCGAACTTATTATATATGATAGGATTTCTTGTAGGTGAATAACCAGGGTAACAAATTTTTGTCAGAACAATGGCTCACTGGCCACTTCATCTTCGTGACCCCACACCAACGACCTTGTGTAGATGGCTTATGTTGCATACATCACTCATAACGCTTGTTTTGTGGCTTAATGACCTGTAAAACTGTAACCCACCAGAACTCATTTCTAGTCATTCTTTTTTGCATCTGAACACTTTCTTCATGTATATCAACACAGTTAACAATTACATTGAAACTAAATGACATGTAATGCATCAATTTCATGATTTAACTTATTTAACACCATGCATAAAACTCATTCTTAACTCTTTTCTTGCTTTCTAACCATGAATCCCGTACCAATTTCATCGATAATCACTCCATAAAATTGTGTTGCTACTTGACTAAAACAAGTGTAAATGTGTAAATGATGGAGAAACGAAATGGCAAGTGTTTCCCACAATTTACCTTTGCACATCGTTTCCGAACCCCTAAACCATACCCCCACTTGGTTTATGCTTCATTTCATTAGCATACCTGTTTTACTTTCAACCCATAGACTTTTAGTTTATTACACATCAACCCCTCAACATTACACTTTTAAGTCTATACGTATTTTACCACTGTAGTTATCATTTATTTCATACCCAAATTTGGGATGTTACATATTTGGTAAGAAACTAAAATTGAAGTAATAATATTTAGGGGTTGTCTACTAGCATATGAATCACCTCTTACCGTCTCTTACCAGAGTAAGAGATGGTGTGTTTACCAAAATAAAATGCATCTCTGACTGTTGACCGATCATTTGGCTGGAGACAGTGATAACATAGACTATTACTATGGTCAGCGACATCATATTCCTTATTTACCCCTCCTTCCATCTTGTTCTGCAAACAACGGTGTGAGAAAAATTAGGTTGTAATCATCGACTCTACTGCATAGGAAATACTTCTAGCAACCAACGAAGGAAGATTACAAACTCCACTTGATGTAGAATCTGGAGAACCAAGGATGACGAGACTGAGAAGAGCAAGGAATGAAAACGATGAAGTCGAAAAGGACAAGTCGAGAGAAAAAGAGACGAGTCTGGTAGTATTATGAGGAGACGGCGACCGAACGAGGGAAGCTCGAAGACGGAGATCGGAAAAAGCCGACTGATCCAAGTAAATAACATTTTTTAGTCAGCATTTATTTGGATCAGATCTCTTACCGTAATCAAATATATTATCCAAAAAGTATTAGGTAAACAGCCCCTAAAAGTCTAAAACAAAAACAAATAAAATAGGGACTATTTCTGTGATTATTGATAAATGCTGTACCAATCTTGACCTTTTTGTAGGATGAAATGAAACCACCATTTAATTGCCGATCCAAATTCACCCCGATTCTACACACGCAAGAGAGAAATGCAGAGCTTAGCGAGAAGACAGCGTGATTGCTCTGGATTTTTCCTCAACGAATTCAAACGAAGAACAAGAACCCTCAGCAGCAGCAGTAGCAGCAGCAGCAGCAGCAGCAGCAGCTTTCTCTCAAATCATTCGCTCACCGATGATCCTGATTCCAGTGTGAGTCTAACTTTAATTTGAATTATGGCTTGCACACGCACTTGATTACATGATTTTGATGATTAGTTGGGGGAAATTGATGATTTTACAGGTATTAGTGGAAGGAAATGCAGGTTCGAGAACCGTAGTTCTCAATAGACCCTCTTTCCTCAATGCGCTCAACACTTCAATGGTTTGATTACTTCCTTCTGTATGCGTTTTTCTAGTGTTTGAGATAATTAACCACTGATATGTGTTGATGAGTTTAATTGTTTGTGAATTGGGAAGGGAGACAGGGGGTTTAACCAGCATAAGCATTTTTTTAAATAAAATAGATAAGAAATAGAACATAATCCTCAATTTGCTTGTATGGAGATCATATTATTGCTGATTGATTAACATTTCAAACAATAAAACTTTTCACTTGTTGCTTGCTAAGTAAAACTAATCTGTAAAAATGAAAGGAAATAAAGAATATTCATGTGTGCAGAAAATAATTACATGTGCCAACTTTTCATGTACAATATGTTTGGTCAATAATTGTGTTTATATATCCATTTCCGCTGTTTTCTTGAAAATTTTTAAATTTGTTTTTGGTTTAAAAATAGAGGTCAAGTGCAATATGTTCAATTTTGCGACAGAAGTAAATGAGATTTTCAAGAAAATACATTATGATTTTTGGGGTTCATCCTACTAATCTACATTTTTAAATTAATAGAGATTTGGTTACAAATTCAACATCATTAATTATTATGTGCAGTTCTGTTATGAGTCTAATTTAGGTTAAAGTTTCTTCTCCAAAGTTGAAGTGGTTAATTTCTTATCTGTTTTGAATTTGAAAAATCAGTCCATTTTACCCCTTATATCAAGCAGGATCTTTTGAATTTAGAACACTTATCTATCAATTCTTTTGTCATGGGTTTTTGAAGCAATAATGCTACTTCAGTTTTTTCTTATTTCTAGTCTAGTTTCTTTCTTAAGTTTAGTGCTTATATTTGTTTGCTCATTTGAAATATTTACAGAGGTATTCGGGCTGATATTATATATTTATAACCACCTTGGTCCTGATAAACTTTCAAGCAGAATAAATTACTCTATATACACTAAGGTTCAAGATTTACACATACCTTTTTAAACAAAGTGAAAAACTGTCCTTGGGTTTTCTCGTGATCTAGCTAAATCTAGGTCAATAATCTTTTTTTTGATTAACCTCGATATCCAACCCGCTATGCGAGCCGACTAATCGCAGGGCGACCACCTGCTTTGCAGATAGCCCGGAGTCACCGCATTTGAACCTCCGTGGCCACAAGGGGATTTTTATTCCTCCTTGGTTTTGAACCTGACACCTCCTGGTACTTTTGACCTTTGTAGCCAAACTCAAACCAATCAGACACCACCCTTGTGGTTATCTACGTCAATAATTATGCATGGTAGTATGAGTATCTTGTCTTTTATACATGCGTGTGAACTCGTCAAAATAATGTTCAAAATTATGGTCGAGAATTTTTAAAATGGTATGTTGGTTGAGATTTCATTAGCTTTCTGGGACACTCAAATACTCAATTGATCTTTTAAATGTTCAATTGATTTCTTCAACTTATTATCCTGGTGGCATGTGGTCACTACTGGCAATCTTCAGGGAAGCCGGTTACATAAACTATACAAAAGTTGGGAAGATAACCCTGATATAGGTTTTGTGGTAATGAAGGTAAACTCTACGAACTTATGCCACACACTTAATTTTACTTTTCTCCTTCTTTGTTCAATAAATTTCTTAATGTCTTCAATGAAGGACTAATTCATATCTCTGTATTTCGTTTGTAGGGCAGTGGCAGGTCTTTTTGTGCTGGTGGGGATATTGTTTCTCTCCATGATATGGCAAAAAAAGGTACAAAAACAGCCACTTTCATCTGTAAGCAGTTTAATTGGCGGAATTAATTACATTTCTGAGTGGTATGATCAATGTGCAGCATCAGTGCACCTTCTAAGTGATTTTATTTATAATTTTGGGTTCTTTAGTCTTTCTTTCATCTCTCTCTCTCTCTGTCTTTTTCTCTCTTGTATCTTCGTAGTATTGACATTCACTCAAACTCAAATTCACCTTGTGCAGGCAATATTGAAGGATGCAAGGAATTCTTTTGGACGCTGTATAATTTTATGTACCATGTTGGTACATATTTAAAACCACATGTAAGTACAAAAATGCTGTTCTACTAAAAGGGTTTAGTAACTCACAATTACTAGTGAGCTTTGATAAACGTCTGTCAATGATTTTGGACCATTGAGTAGGTTTCTAATGTGTCTTCTAAGCAATCTCAGAGAATATGGCATGAAAAGTTGGTACAATTGGAACCCAAACTTAATCATCTTAGATGAATTGACATGCCTTCCTAAGAGCACGTCTGAGTTTATCTTTTATGTTAGGTTTATATATGGTGGCTTTTCAGAAAGCTGTCAAGTCGAAGAATGGACTGGACGAAGAAAGGAAGTGTGTACTTTCATCAAAATATAAATAATAAGAGAAACAAGCTTGCTGCTAAATAGAAAAGTTCTTGGGATGCTTCACCTCTACTCATAACATGTTTTGAGAAGCTAGATTCAACGAAAATACTTACCTGTGTCTATTATTCTTCCTTGAATCTTAACAAGTTTAGAACTTTCCCCCACTTTTTTCTTTTCCAGTTAAGTTTGGATATGATTTCAATCTGGCACTACCATGGTGGGATAAGGGATTTGTTGAATTGAATCTACGCTGCAACAATAACTGCAACCATGGTTTTAAAAATCAGCCGAGGTGTACCATGGGAAAATGCCCCACCTCACGTTTTCATCTTTCAAAACCTTGACTGCAACTGCAAAGGTTAAGCCTTGAATTTATGAATTACTTCAAAACTGGAAGCGGATGGCTATCATAACTTGTCTATATTGTTATACGTGTCAAGTCAGTATCTGTACTCTAATGTTGACATGACTAACACTACTTTATGAGCTTCTATTTAAGAAATGTTTAGTATGCATCATTTATTGACATTGGACCATTTTCTTCAATCAACTTTAAATTGGTATGCTTTATACCCAACTACTCCTTCAATGGCAGTCTGTAAATATAGCTATTGTTGCTTTGCTAGTTGTATCAGACCACCATCGGTTATCCTTCTAAATATCTCTGTTATATTGGTTGTTGTGTACTGGTCCTTACAGAGCACGTATTGTTTTAATATTCCATGTTTACTTTGGAATGATGATCACTTGAACCAGACTGATTTGGCATCCATGTAGGTGGCTATCTTGGATGGGATTACCATGGGTGGAGGGGCTGGTGTTTCCATTCCAGGAACGTTCAGGGTTGCAACCAATAAAACTGTAAGCATATGCATATGCTTCTTATGTTTTATGTTTCACTATTAATAAGGGTTGTTTGGTTGGTTTTCCATTAAGTTCTATATGGATAAAGCTGACTGTGTAGATTAATCTGTTGGTATAGATTGAGAGGGTTTTTGTTTGGGAGGCTTTTTTATAGATGGAAGGAGTGTTTTTAATTGGGAGTGGCAGGATTGGAAAAACTTGGCTTTCTGCATAAAGCTTCCTTCTAGAAGCTTACCGAATAAGCTACTTTCTATATCATAAAGCCGCTACCAAACAGTCATTTATAGTTGACTGAATAATCTGTGAGTCCCATTAAGCTTATTAAGTTGTTAACAAACAGACCCTTAGCTTGATTCCAGTTTGATATTTGAATGTGTATCAAGTAGCAGGCACCCATATCTTGTTCTTGCAAAGGTATCTAGGCTTTAATTGAACACCCGCGGTCAACATTTTTGCACTTGGAATGGATGAATAGCCACTGTGGTCTTTATCTGCTTAAACTTTTCAGATTAGTGAACAGGGTAAAGTTAAATATTGAAGCACAAACTTCATCACTATGTGTCATCCTTAGATCATTGCATCTCCTTTTAAGCATTTTGTTACTGATTAGATGAACGTAACTTAACAGACAATATATATATTATCAAATGCACCAACTTTATTTGTTTCAATAAAATGGATTAAGGCTGTGTTTGGCAAATTGCTGATAAGCTAGCTGGTAGCTTATAAACAAATCGTCTTTGGCAAAACTAGCTGATAGGAATGTAAAATGACCAAAAAGGGCATCTTGAAAAATTAATCAATTATAATATTTCACAATATGATTAAAACAAATCTCTAATAATATAATATATTAACTAATACAAACAAGATAGTAAAAAATTAAAAAATGTAATATATTGATTAAAAGAATTTCAAAT